TATATTAAATAGAAATTCTGTGAATAATCAATAAATTAAAATAAGGCTATAAAAGTTCTTTTATTATATTTTTTTTTTTTATAAAATTTGGATTTTCTTTTTATTTTTATTTTCTTATTTTTCTTCTATTTCTTCACTTACATTATTATTAGATATTATATTTCTTATTTATTTTCTGATTTTTTTTTCTTTAATGATTTAATTTTCTTTTTATTTTTATAGTTATAAATATAAAATTTTTTTTGATAAAGTAATTGAAAGTATGAGATTTGATATAGTGTTAAATTGCTTATTTGACTTTTTAATGTAGATTAATGTAAATGAATATAAGTTCAAAATATAAAAAATTATAATAATTACTATTTACATTCTTTTATAACTTATTATTAAAAAAAAAATTTTATTTAGATTCTTTTAAAAATATGAACGGGATTTTCAGATCGGATTTAACCGAACCGATATGAAAATTTTTTTTATTATTATTTTTATAGTATATATAATCAATTATAATAATAAAAATAAGAATTCCAATTGGAAATTTTAATCGAAATTATTTATAATTTAACATCGGTTAAATAATTTAAACAGAATATTGCACCAATCTTCGAAATTATATTATTTGATTCTTGTTGAAATAGAATGCTAAATAATCACCTGAATTGTTACAATTTACAAATTGAAGAATGCAAATCATTAAATAATAAATTGAAAATAATAAATTTAGTAAGATTTCTAAGCGTATTCTCGATTCAATCGCTTTTCAAGTTTCTAACATTCGATTTTCGATTTCGCAACCAAAAGAGGTAAATGCTATGAATGTGAACTTTTAGCGAGTAGACAATTTTAATCAAAAAGGATATATTATTTGCCCCCCAAAGTCATTTGCCATAAAAAAAAATATATGCCAAACACATGAATACATAAAAACTTTATTAAATGTTACAATATTTTATTCTATTATTTTATTTAATTGGAGACATTGCTATTCAAATTATTCCTTTTGTCTTAAGATATAAAATGATGGTTTTCTGCCTAAATATTCACCTCGAATTGATTATAACGAAATTTGTATAATAATCGTCAGAACGCCGATGTTAACAACTTTATCTATTTAAATGAACCAAACGTAACAATGGGAGGTTATTAAAATCATGCTCGTATCATATGATTGATTTCATTTGTTGAATTTACTCTGAATGATTTTTAAACTTTTAACATAATAGTACTTACTACTCCACTAAAATGGGTTAATATATTCTCAAACGAATAAGAAAAAAGAAATACGTCATAACTTTTAATTAATATTGGCAAAAAAAAACAATTTTATTTGTGTTACAAGCCCGTGATTCTGGGATTCCCCATTTTTTTAATGATAAAAAAGGTATTTATTGTGAATTTGAGTAAATAATTAAACAAATCAGGAAAGGGCCTGTCGAGAAAATCTTTTCCTTATAGCTTAAATAACTTAAATAACCTAATAACTTGAAACTATTGATTTTCACCTCTTTTGATTTTAGATAATTGATGTTTGTGATCAAAGAGCCAAATTTAGAATTTTGAATAAAACAATCTAAACCCTTTTGGGGGGTTTGTCAATTATTTAAAAATAAATATCCTGATTTTTTTTTTTTTAAAAAAAAACCCTTCTCTAAAACGACAATCCTTCCCCTCTTTTTTTTTCACTTTGGTAATAATATACTTTTGTTTATTAAATTATTATTTGCCTTTATTTTTAGTCCATCTAACATTTTTGTTTTTATTACCTACTGAAGTTGAGGATAAAATATGGCTCGTTTAAATTATGACTGTTTAATGGTTCTTTTTGAAAATTTTATTGATGAACCAGATGGTTATGGTTTATTGTATAATTGTGCACTATTAAATCGTGAGGTAACTATAGTCATTAAATATATATATATATACATCTTTCCTAAAGTTATTCCGCATATTAATTCTTTTTTTTAAAAAAAGTGGAGAACAATTGCGGATAGTTTTCTATATGCGGATCCATGGAAGTATTGGTTGTATCGATCAAAGAATTATAACATTGCTATACAATTAATTGATACATATATGATGTGTTACAATACGGTAAACCTTTCTTCGCATGAAAATGAAGGAGGAATTGAAGAAGTAAGGCCTCAAACAAGAATTCGTATCGAAGCTCCAAATAACAGAAATAATGATCGAATTCCTTTATATGATTATATCGCATTTGCAAAAAATTTACATATCCCTTCATTATATCAATGTATATCGTTATGGTATAATTTTTATCATGAAGAGGAAAGAGAAGAAAATGATAGGTCGATTTATCATTTATTTTTGAAAATTTTCGAATTATTTGTTGATAGAGCTCGTATTAAAGAATGTACCTTTGCGGAATCAACAGAGGATAACAAATATCCAGTAACATTAGATCAATTAAATCGACTTATAAATCAAGGTCATATGGTAGATTTAAAATATTTAAATTTCGGATTTTTTCAATGTAATTCTGATGGGCTTACTGGGATAACCGGAAAGTGCGATAAGCTTAAAACCTTTAAAATTTCAGCGCAAAAATGTTCGGATGAAGCATTGGAAAACTTTATAAGAACACAAAAAAGTTTAACAAAACTCAAAATACGAAATGCGGAAAAGATCAATTTAACTTTGGATGCTCTTGAAACTCAATCATCGTCATTGGTAAAACTTCGAATTCTTAGTTGTAATCTTAAGAGTTGTGAAACACCTTTTAATGGTATCGCAGCATGCTCAAAACTTCGTTCGATTTATATGAGAAAGATCATTGATTGGCCTAGGAATGTATCTCCTTCAACCCTTTTAATGCCTATGGCGCAAAATTGTGAATTTCACAACGTAGATTTTTCTAATACTTACCTCCCGGTTGATGTTTTGGTTGAAATCGCAAAGAAATCTTCAACAACCTTACGTAGGGTTTATCTTATAGGACCCGAGAATCAAGTGGATGATGAATTTCATGATTTATCTAGTGGGATCAATGCTTTAGGATCTTATGCCAAAAATATTCATCATTTTGAAAGAGATATCCTACCACGTGAAATTAATTCGATGGTTTATTTATTAAGTTCGGTTGGAAATTCTTTAATTAGATTAGAGATCGAATCAAGGTTTATGATTTCCTATGATGCATCGATTATAATCTCGACTATTGGGGATCATTGTCCTAAATTGGAACTTTTGAATATAGATTACTTCAACTTCACAACAGAATCTTTTGAAAGATTGATTCAAGGTTGCCAATCATTAACAAGTTTATCAATTTGTAATTCCAAGTCTGTCAATGAATATATGTTAAACATAATACGAGATTTGGCTGGTGAGAATTTGAGATCTTTATGTATTTATGGTTGTGATCAAGTTAGTTTGGACGCTGTTGAGAATTTACGCGATGAGACTCATATAGAAGTAGATACTAACATAGAAGTTGATGATGAAGGACTATAAATTATTTTGGAGGAATTATGTTTCAATTATACTTAAGATTTTACCTTCCTTTATATTATTTACCTTTTTTTCTTTTTTCTTTTTTCTTTTTTTTTTTTTTTTTTTTTTTTTTTTTTATAAAAAGTATTAAAAAAATAAAAGAAATATTAGTAATTAAATAATTTACGTTATGTTAATCTTTTTAATGAGTTCAATGGGTAATTAATCTTCTCCCCATTTAATAGAATCAAAACAATTTATAATTTTCAAGACTAATGACTAATTACAAATTTGGCCCGCGTTAATTTTGATCCCGGTCAAAGATTAAATATGGTTGTTGACATCTGTAAGCATACTAGTCTTGTTTACCTTTTAAGTTTGAAATTTGTTTTGTAAATAGAACTTTTTTTGAAACAAATAAGGAACAATCAAACAAAAAAATAATAATAAAAAATAATCCAATTTTATATATATATATTTTCACATGCTATTCATGCTTATTTTGAGAATTTTATATTAGATAAATTCCTAATTTATCATAGCTTCAAAAAAAAATTTTTTTTTCAAAAATGGACCAAACCAAATATCGCATATAATTATCAAATAATGTGAAAAAAAATTCTTGTAAATAAAAAAATTGTGAAACCAAATTTATCGTTCGCGTGACAAATTTAATTGCGCCAATTGAGAGTTTTATTCTAGTTACAAATTTCTGCTCTTGATCTTATCATCAAGTTGAAGAAATATAATAGTAGGAAAATCATGTGATTGATATATTAAAATTTCGGCACCAAGCTTCATCTTCCATCAATTACTTTTCATTCAATTATTGATACTATAATGATTTGTTTATACTATAGACGCAACAATCATAACTACGAAAATGCCGTCCAAATTTTCTATTGGGTTAATCGATCATCATAATTAGTTCACAATTTTGATTTGACATTTTGAAAAATGAAAATAGGTTGAGGAATTTGGCAAAATCAAAATGTATATATTAAGTATTTAATGTTATAATTTGAAGATTTAACTATTTGAATAATTTCTTTCTAATTTTTACTTAAAATTTATAAATCAAAAATATTCGTTTCTAAAATCTTTAAAAATGCATTTTATTTATAAAAATCTTTCATACTTTTAACGTCGCGAAACGTTACTTGATATCACGCTTAAATATCAAATTAGGTGAAAAACCAAAGTTTTGGGGATTTCGTTGATGAATTGACCTAAGATCGATTATAGGAGGATAATAAAGAATCTTTATTTTTAAAGTTTGTTATCCTAAAATCTTTTAATTAAACTTGTTTAGACGTATTATCGAATTCTATATCACTTCCATATTACAAAAACTGGCGTTATTTTTTACAAAAAAAAAAAAAAAAAATGAATGAATGAACAGTATTCATTATTGAAAATTTGATGAGGTGGTAATTTGATGAAAGTTCATCCATTAGATTTTGGAATGATTACAAATAAGCATTACTCTATAACATTTACTGACAAAAAAGATTAGAAATTGGCAGGGTATTACGATACGCAAATCCCCATTATAGTAAAGTTTCACCTATTATAATTATAAAATGAGAGATTTGTTTAAAAAGATTGATGTTGACAATGTTTTCAAAACGAAAGAATAAAAAGACAAATAATTACCTAAACAACATCGAATTAACGAACATCCAATTGTTACAGTTTCAAATACGCTTGCTTCATCAAAAAGAAGGGGATTTACATTTACTTCCTATATAATCAAGATGATTATAAACCGTTAATTATGAAATTAAATTACGGTAATAAAGAATTTAAAGAATTAGAATATTTACCATGATATCAACAGAAACAAGACATCCCGTTTCATGAATAGCTTCACAGATATAATGTCCTTCTCGGAAGGTCAAACCACCACGAACAGGAGTACCTAAAACAACGAGAGATATAAGTTAAAAAAAGTCGACTTTATAATTATACTATTTCTCAAAATAAGGAAATTAATTTACCTGTACTCGGAGCAACGGTTGGATCAAGGGCGTCAACATCAAAACTTAAATGAATTGGCCGATCTCTTTTTGGATTTACAACATCAAGTGCCATTTCTACAACTTTACCGATTCCATATTTATCAACCTCATGCATTGAGAATGCTTTGATTCCCAATTGTTTTAAAATTTTTTTCTCCGGTCGATCCACATCTCGTAACCCAATATACACAAGTCGATCTGGCTTGAGAAATGGTTTGACCCATTCGAATCCTGGGACTTTTCCTGCAATTCCTAACAAGAACGATACCGGACAACCATGCAAATTGCCAGATTCTGTGGTTTCAGGTGTATTAATATCCTATAATTCGAAAAGCATTTATTGATTAAACATGATAATGAAGGTAATAAGTTGATAAAATTAATCTTACAGCGTGCGCATCAATCCAAATAAGACAAGCTTCCGGGTGAACCGATAAAGTTCCTACTACGGTGCCTAAAGCAAGACTATGATCGCCACCAAGAGTTAATGCTAATTGTCCTCTTTTAAGATGAGACTCAACAGCCTTAGATACAGCTTCAGTTACTCTTGAAACGTAGCGTGGTTTCTTAAGCTTCCCTATGTTTGGGTCTTCGGCTGGGCGAAGTTCAGTTAGTTTGTGATGCCCGTCAAATTCAACATTCCATTCCAATTCTTCTAGTTGCTCTATTAATCCATAGTCAATCAATTTGTTTGGACCTTCATCAACACCTTCTTTAGGCTATTTATGGAAGATTGCTATTAGAGCTTCGTATAGCGAATAAGAATTATCTATATGCATTCTGTACTTGCCTGACCACCACTAAAGGGACAACCAATGATGCCAACACTTTTGCTCTTAAGGAATTTGTAAGATGTCATTTTAGATTGCTTTAATGCGAAAAAAAAAAAATTTATTATAAAATATGATAATTTTTAGGTAAAAAAAAAAATGATGCTTTTTTATACAAAACACATGAAAATGTAACACCAAAAAAAAATTTTTAAGGCTAGGATAAATATGGATAAACAATTTGTGTATAATATATTTTTTTGTTTGATACTCCTCGATTTTGCGTGGGAACAACAAGATTAACCTATATTAGTTGCAGATTATACTCGGTCAGTCACAAGGATGTCAAGTTACCGCCTCCACAGCCAAACGCATAATTCAAAAAAAAATTATCATTTGTTGGCCATTACTGGATTTCGGTCATATGTCACGAGCACTAAAATGTGATCTTAAAGAAACTTTCTCGTAACTCTTATTAGAATTGAATTTTACATATTTTGTCACGAGTCATTAATTATGATTTCATTATTTAAAAAAATTTTTTTTGCGTTACTATTAATGCACAATGCGATTTTCCCACGAATATTGAAAATTTTTTTGGTGGTGATCAACATGAAAAAAAAATATATTTTTTTTTTTTTTCATTTTCTTTCAAATAGGTTTGGATATGGATATTGCATTTATAACCAGAATTCAAAATAAAAAGCATATGATAATGAAGCCATGCTTTTAATTTCTTTCAATGAATTACCAGTATCAGATTAATTTGCATTGAAGCTAGTTCTATTTAATAATAAGCCAACCTAAAAAAGTATAGAATCATATGTATTAAAAAAATTTTTTTTATTTCTATGCAGTAATACATTTTGTACAATCATAAGACTTCGCGTGATATATTACACGCAAAAGTATTCTTTGTGGATTTTTAATTCGAATTACACAAGATGTTCGAAATATATTTTTTTTTTTGAAACTCGAAATGAGTTGCTTATTTTGATAAATTTGATTTTCAACTAATACATACATAAATATTTTATTGTTTTCTCATTGCAGGAAAACATAATGCGTTGTGATGATCATTTTGTTTTAAATTTCCTGTTCAAATTCGATCATAGTGATAGTTTTTTAGTTATAATATGTATTAATTAAATTTCGCTAGAATAATTTGTTCATACTTAGTAAACTAATCCATTAACGTTTATACACGTTGTGAACATTTTTATCCAAAAATATTTGAGGTAGACAAACATAAATCATTTAATAGTTTAGCCGGATCCAATAAAGAAGGGGCAAATAAAACATAGCGGTTTTTAAACGACATTTTATGTACATGTATCTCTTGGATGAAAAAGCTAGAAAATTGTGAATTTGAAAATACAGTATTTACAATTTGGCAATAAATATGTATTTATTTATTTCAGTTAGCAATCAAAAAATTAAAAATTCACGGGAGATCTTAACCCAATATATGGGTAGTATTCTATTAAAATTGAGGTACGGATCATATGATTTACTATGTCTCGTAACCCACTTTTAATAGATCAGCTCCCATATTATTATGTAACATGGGATGGATCGCTATTAAAAAATCGCGTACAAGACATCAAAAACTACAATGGATTTCAAAATCTAAATTTTGTTAAAGAAATCCCGGAATCTGATTTTCTAACAATTATCCATATATAATAATAAATAAAATGAATGAATTAAGCAGTATAACTTGCATTTCTTTTTTTAAAAAAAATTTATTTGAATTTATATTTTTTATATTATCAATTGTAATATTGTAAGTTTATTATGTATTAGATTAATCATATATTATGCTTAAATATATAATTACAAATATAAATTTATAATTATACTGTACAATCGCGTCACAAAATAACGCCCGATTGAAATTATATAGTAAAATGTATATAAAAAATTTTTATAAAGTTTAGAACTAATTAAGTTTTTGGGTTTAAGTCTCTACAAGATAGTAATAAAAATATAACTAATTAGCATTCAAACATTCAAATGTAATAAAATTTGGAAATAATTTGAAGCAGTAATACTATTGTATATAACGGTTTAGAAATTTCAATTTTTATATGTAATTTTTTTTTTATAATAATAGACATAGAATAAACATGAGTATCGAAACCGAAACCGAAACCTCCCGAAACTCTTTAGGTTTCGGTATATACTAAACATAATTTCGGGAGTGCATTTATTCTTCTAAACCCCAAAACCCAAATCCCAAATCCCGAAACCCGTTTCTGAAAATATAATAAATTAAATATAACAGGCTGTGGAGTTGGAAAACTTTGATTGACAGTGTGTGCTTTAGAATCGCAGACTTCAACGTTACATTCTTCAAAGAGAAGTCGAAAAAAAATTTATAATTACCATACTCATTGTTTTTTATGAAAATTTATATTTACGCATTTACTATATACTGAAATATGCCGAAACTTATTTTATTGTTTTATAAGTTTATTATATTATTACTAATTTAATTTCATTACAGTATCAAATATCAATTATATTAATCAAAACAAATATTAACAAAACCTTGAACTAATGAATCTGGATCAAAATCTTCTTCCTTATCCAACTCTTGAATTAATTTATCAAGTTCATCAATTTCCAATTGTTTATTTACTACTGGATTATTCCCAAACATTAATTCCAAATCAAGTATTTTTGAAATCTCTAATTCTTGAAATGTAATTTGCTCATCATCAAATCAATAGATGAATATGCCATGATTATTTCTTCCATTTGCTCCTCATTAAATTCATAATCTTCAATATGGGAGCTGATCTATTAAAAATGGGTTACGGGAACTTTTTACAAAAAATGATTCATTTATAGTATATTATATGAACTTTATTTGGTTAAATTTTTAGAGGCTATTAGCTTATTAATAAAACAAGTAATTTGGC